TTAAAAATATGTGCTTTCATTTAATAGGCACGACAATCACAGAATTAAATACCAATTTGATTAATTGTTGTGATTTTTTAGCTACAAAATTGATGACCCCGAGTTTCTTCAGTTGAGAAAATTACTAACCTTGCTGGTGGAAGATTTCTTCCAAAGTTTTCTACCACCAGATTTGCTACCTCTGCTGGAGCATGCACCAATAAAAAGAGTAGCTTCATTTAAAAAGTGTGTCAAGGAATTGCATGGAATAATCTATAAGAAATTGAAAGAGCACAAGGCAACTTTTAATCCAGGTAATTCATATTTTTTGCAAGTATTTTAATGTCCTTAGGCACCATTTCAAAAGTCCAGTACATTTTTTAAAAAAGTACTCCAGTATTGACTTTTAGAAATATTTGTTTTGTATTATAGCACAGTATGTGCAAACAATTTACTTTCAAGTTGTGTCTGGAAAGTGAGGAGGTACATGTACATTGTGTACACGTAATACATGTATACTTTGTATGACATATCCTTATATATTTATATTTCACTCATTCATTGTTGTACTTTTTCAAGTTATGTACTTTTTAAGTAGCACATGAAAATGTATACTAGTGGTACTCTCTGATGTGAAGTCATCTCCCAGTGGTACTCTCTGATGTGAAGTCATCTCCCTTTCAGAATTTCTGAATGTATGCAACACTAACATTTATTTTGGGGAATATGACGCACTGATTTTGTTCAACTTTGATAAATGATTCCTGTTCCTTTTGATGTACAGATGCTACTCCACGTGACCTAATGGACCAGCTGCTTTTAGCACAAAAAGAGTCTGAAGAGGAGGAAGGTGAAGATACTAAGAACTTGCTGACAGACACACATGTTGTGCAGACTGTATCAGATGTGTTTTTTGGTATGGATTTGAAATTTTCATAATGAGAGAAAATAGTTTTAATGGATCAACAAACTTTCTAATTACATGTTACTCTTTCACTAGGGGAAAATTTAGATATTATATATGTATTTTAATGTCAATTTTAGAATTTGAATAAGCAACCTGTAATTTTTATCATTGACTCTTTAATTTGTAATTTTGACTTCTTAATTTGTCAATTCGGCTGTTAATAAATAATTATATTTAGCTTTAAATTGAAAACCCATTAAGGTTTTAATAGAAATGCCATATACAAATAAATTATTATTATTATTATTATTATTATTTTATTATTATTATTTAGCTGGAACAGAAACCTCCTCAGAAACCCTGAAATGGACACTTATGTATACAGCAGCTTATCCAGATGTTCAGGAACAGATGCACAATGAAATATTGGATGTTTTAGGTGAATGGTTAGGCTAAATGGGTAATTTTTGTATTGAAATGGAGAACATTGTACTTCAACATTACCAAAGTGTAGTTACATATGTGAATGGTAAAAAATCTGACAAAATCTCATTGCACCAAGAAATGGTTATGAATATCGATTTGGACAACTGAAATAAAGAATAAAATGTGCAAAAATTGTAAGAATTATTATCAAGATGAAGTTGACATTGGTCTTGAAGAAAAAAGTGTCAAAGAACAGGATTGAAATCATTTTCGTGGAATTTGGCTATATTTTTTTTACAAATCAGTTTTTAAAGCAAATGTTAACCCATGCCACCAGTACATCATTTAAGAGCTACTTCTTCTGCAATAGCATGTGCCATTCAAAGTTTTAATTTTGATACATGTGCCAATTTTTTGACATATCTTTGTTTCTTTAACAGGAGACGGTGATGACCTTCTCCAAAGCAAATCCAAGTTAACATACTGCGATGCTGTTTTGCATGAAGTTATGAGACTGAGGCCAGCGATCCCAATGTCTCTGTTTCACAAAGTCCTGCAAGATACAAAACTGGGTAAGTATACTTGCTATCTTTCAAAACTTTTCAGTTTATCCTGTATGAGTGAGTTTAGAGTAAAAAACACATCATTTCTAAAAAGACTAAAAATGCTTTCTTCACCTTTGAGACATTACATTTCAATTAATTTAATTAATTTTTCATCAATTGTCATTGATCATGTGACTGACTTGTCAATTTGAATTTTAAAACTTTTAATCTCAAATGTAGTGTGACATCCATGCTTTGAATGTATTCATTGTTACTTCAAGGAGAATACGATTTGCCAAAGGGAACCATTGTCACTCCAAACATATGGGGAATACACCATGATCCCGCTTACTGGGATTCACCAGAAGAATTCAGACCAGAAAGGTTCTTGGATGAACATGGCAACATACATGTGGATTCTAAGATATGGCTTCCATTCTCCAGTGGGAAGAGAAAGTGTCTTGGGGAAGCCCTGGCCAGATCTGACATAATGATGATCATGGTGTGTACCCTTTGGATGAATGAGTTTTTTTAAATTGTAAAAACAGAATATAGGACATCTTCACCCCCCTTCCAACAATACCATCATTCTTTTTGTTACATTTATCTTTAAATAGAAATTACTTAATTACAAAAGCATGGGCAGATTTTTATGTGAGAACTGAAGAATTTTTTAACCTACATAGATACACCATATTTTAAATATCTGATCAACATTACATTAAAAAAACATCAGAATTTAACATCATTTTGGCAAGATCATAATAACAAGTGATAGAAATGAATATTTCATTCAAAACAAAATAAATTTTAAATGGTCCATAAAATGTGCTTGGACATATTTGTACAGCACCAAGTTGCATGTTTGAATTAAATGTTATGCACTTCTAAGCAAATTATCTGAAAATAAGAAATTATTAGAAATTATAAGAAAATTATCAGAAATAAATCAAAACCATTTTTAGTGTTAAACATGAAAATTCTCAGACACAAGCCTAAAATTTTCCGTACCGTTAGCTTACGACCAACCTGGTCGAAGGCCTTCATCAGACTGACGTGAGTATACCACCTAGCGGTCAGTGAGTGTGAACAACTACTCACGTCAGTCTGATGAAGGCCTTCGGCCAGGTTGGCCGTAAGTTAACGGTACGGAAAATTTTAGGCTTGTGTCTGAGAATTTTCATGTTTATCCAACTACCAAGCTAATGAACATTTTTGCTCATTTTTAGTGTTGTCTTTGGTGTTGATAAGATCCCCTTTGTCTTAATTTTGATGATCATTTACATGGTTTGACTTTTTGTTTTTTGTTTCATTAGGCTTTGTTTTACCGGGACTTCAAGGTGAGCTTTCCACCCAATGTAACAGGAGACTTCGAACCTGCAGATAAAATTCTTGACTGCCACTGTAAACCTCAGAAACTGGTTATTGAAAAGAGAAAAGGCTAAATTTACATATTATACTATATATATATATATATATATATATATATATATATAAGTATGCCAGGACAAGAAAACCATTTTATATAAAATCCTTTTTACTTTTTATTAACATTAGATAATGTTTTCCATTTATATCTGAATAGAATAACCATTTAACAAATTTCAGCATCAGCAATGGATATTGGATGGAGTAACATGTTCATACACCATGTTCCAATCTTTTATCTTTATATTTTGATAATTGTGGAAATACTTGACTAAATCTAACTTCTGCTATGGCACTTGATTAAATTGTTATTACCATGTTGGTAACTGCATACATACATTTGTATAGTTCAAGAACTTAAAGTATAAATGTCAAGACAATATGTATATGGTGGAGCTGTACATGAAAGAGCTTGCACCAAAGAAGCAATTGACTACAAATGTGAATGCTTCTGTGCTGAGCTTAAGACATATATTTTAAACTATATATAGTCTTTCATTTAGTGGATTCTTTTGCAATGCTTACACTTTTTTAAATTAAGACACTCTGCTTACATTCCATTTTACTAAGAAAACAACTCCTATGTCAGTACATTAAATTATGTACACAATACCACATGTTTACCAGTTTTTCTTTTATCCCTCCCACTGTGACACTGGGGGTCTTGGAGTAACATGCCAAGTAATGACAGTTCACAGAATCCATTTAATTTTTTTTACATTAACAAATATTTTAGTGCAATTTTACCTTTGGCCATATATAATTCACTTAAGTGGCATTAAAACTTTGATTATCATGTAAGTACCAATAAAAAATAACAGGACGAATCATGTGCAAACATAAACACATATAGAAATAGAATTCATTGTAAAAATCAGTGACATCATATACCTTCAAGAGTTCTGGAATGAGATTTATAACTTTGGACAGTATACATAATTAATCACATCTTTAATGTGTACTGCTAGGGCTGCTTTACATGATCTTGGAAAATTTTTGATATGCAGGCCTGTAACCAGGGGAGGTTCAGGGGTTTTGAAAGAACCACCCCTTTTGCTGGGAAAAGGTCCACTCTGGGTAAAATTTGATCTAGGTGCATGAAGTTTTTATGGAAAAAGATCCACTTTTTCAGAAAAAGAACCCCCTTTTGAAATTGCTGGCTACCTGCCTGATATGTGATATGTATTAATAAGAATACCAATATATATATGTATACAATTTTTATAATATGTAAAAGTTCGGAATTATGCCTCTGTTTTTTAATGATTTATAATACATTCAAAAAAGTACAGTTCAAATCTAATAATCTCCCAAGTGTGTTGTAACCCTTTATTATCATCCAGACACCGAAAATGAAGTTTTTCTGCACCTAATTATTCAATAATGCATCTATCTTTGTGCTGATGAAAACAATAAAAAAACGAAAATATACAAAATCGGCTTTTATATTTCTCCTTGCATTGTAAAAGCGTAGGAATTTCAAGGCTTTAATCGCCAATTTAACACTTTTTTATTCTGAGGTGAAATAGCAATTGGTATGGGGCGTAACTTCATCCCTGAACAAGATTTATCACGAAAATCGGCAGAGTTGACCATGAGTGTATAAACTTAGTTGATCATTAAAAAATTGTTTTATGTAAAAAAGTGTTAAAATAGAACTAAACCCATTTCAGTACAGTTCTGTCTTGTTTACATTTTGGCAATTTCAAGGTGTGACTTTGAAGTTTCATAGTCCCCAAGACCTTTGCTAGTCACATTTTCTGAATATTCACGAAACTTCTATTTTATCATTAAAAATTGATCGTCATTATGCTGTTAGTGCCATAGTGCCCATTAAAGGAAAACCATGTCACTCACTCTTTTCAAATTTACAGGAAAAAACATGGGCCTTAAATGCAGCTTCCTTTGGAAAAGTAGACTGTTTAGTTAATTTTTCTGGAAGTTATACATTTTTTTGTGAAAATTTGATTTTTCGTATATTTCAAATTGGCATTTTCTAGATGTGACTTTTCACTCCCATCCACCAGGAGCCCTGTACTGTTACTTTGTAACATTTTCTGTATTTTTTTAACTTACAAAAATGATTCTTAGGATTGACATACAGCCCAAATTAGAAAAACAGCTCTAATGAATTAATGGTCAGAGGTAAATGTACGTTAAATTGGTTAGAATCATGTTATTATTATACGTTATTCATAGTTCTTCTCAGTATTATACCTGCATAGCATAGGCTCTGATATTGAGCGATAGAAACCATATAATACACCGTAAGGTAAGTTGTTAAATCACGCATGCTTGTCACCTTGATCTTGATCTAAATGTAGATCTTGCATGATAAACTTGATAAGCATTTGATTTGCATTGTGGTAGACTAATGGTTAGTTAAAGTATTTTTTGTGGTTTTTAGAAACATTGGCTGTTCAAGTTGACAGCCAAACTATGGTTAATATCGTTCATTTGCACCATTGAGCTTGTTACACAGTAGGGGAGACCGGAGCTATACGTACAACTGTACTTGGACCCCCGAGTTAAGTTGGCCCTCCCATCAATATATGACAAAGTAACTATGGGGTAAAAGAATTGATCACATCATTTTGTAAAGTGACCGTACTTAGTATCCAATAGTGCTAAGAAATCGTTGCCAGTGAGTCCAAATGAAATAATTAAGCATCTTAAAGTAACTTAATTAAAGAGACTTGATGGGGGGCCAACAAACCCCACGGGTCCACAAGGCATAACTGGATCTACAGGATCTACAGGGGCCAAGGGGGACAAGGGCGAGCAGGGAGTGAAGGGATCAAAAGGCGACAGAGGTGCAACTGGTATTCAGGGCATTATAGGTCCAACGGGCGCCAAAGGCGACACAGGTGTTCAAGGACTGCAAGGATTAAAGGGTGATATGGGAGTAGCGGGGCCCATGCCACCTATGGGTCCTCCAGGAAATAAGGGTTAGTGCGTATTTGAAGGTGTAAATATTAATAAAAAAGTTTTTCGGCCCTTTTTTATAACCATAGTTTTAATAAGTTTCAAACATAATGATCAATTTTTTTCAATGATCATTTGAAAATCATCATTATTAAGATAACAAAAATTTTTAATGCGCACACCACAGTGGAAATCCTATCTTACAATTTTTATTTAATTTTTCAGGGGTGGACGAATGCCAGACGAATAAAGGAGGGTGCAGTCACACCTGTATGAACTCCTACCTGTCCTATCGCTGTGTATGTGACGCCGGATATCAGCTGAACGAGGACAAGTATTCTTGTGCCGGTGAGGGAAATCCTATTATCAATCATAATTTTTTAGGTCAATATAACATAAAAAATTCTTGTTCGGCTTGTGCATATTTACATTTCGAGTGTGCTATTTTTATACATAAAAAGGTCATGGCAAAATAGCGTCTGCTGAAACTTTTAAAAGCTGCTATCAAAAAGAAAAACTGCATTTTCCATTGACATAAATTTACATGGATTTGAATATTACCAGCGCCACCTTTTTTTCTACCACCTGATGTTGTCGTTATTGATGTTTTTTCAATCATTTTAGACGTGGACGAGTGTAGCAATGACAATGGCGGCTGTGACCAGTTGTGTTACGACGCAGTAGGCACCTACGTCTGCGCGTGCCGGGCTGGGTTCAGACTGAGCCCCGACAGACACAGCTGTGAAGGTACTATTACTAAATAATGTATTATTAAGAAAGAGGTTTGCAAGCAAATAATAATAATAACAGATCAATAATTATAAGAAAAAATAGAAATCAAAATAAATGAATATAGTTTATGTCAGCCATGGCTGGATCTGTATCGTTGAATGTATTACATAGTCCGAATGCTGTATTGAAAAGCTGTGTCCGTAAGTGATTTCAAGAACTTGTTGTATTTTATATGTTCTATCTCAGATGTTGATGAGTGTGCTGTCAATAATGGCGGGTGTAATTCAACACAAAAATGTGTTAACACTTTGGGGAGCCGAAGTTGCGTGATGACCATTTCGTCGTCTGTTGACTCCTTGGCACAATCGCTGCAGCTGAAGGTCACAGGTAAGTAATCTTTCGAAATATCTCATTCTCCACCGTCTACAAAATCATACTTATTCATGAGTTTCAACATACCAAGCAGCCACTCCTCATAAAAATGATTTGATGGACAGTCTTGATTCCATGTAAGGTAAATATAGAATACCAATCTGTTATTAAATCAAACTGCTACAACAGCCCTACACTGGAAAAGAATATTAAATCGCCTCAAATGGCCCTCAGGTGTTGTACAACAGAAACAAAAGGAAAATCTTTTCTATGTAGTAGTACACTGATTTTGTACTCTTGTTCCAGAATTTACGACACTCTCGGAAACCATGTCTCAGGTTGTGAAGGACCAGACGGCCGCTCAATCGTCTGCTCAGACCGGCAACTGTGGCTATGATGCTACACTAGTGAATGGTTACCTCATCATGGGCATTATTATATGGCTGATTGTGGTCACCTTAGTTCTACTGGGACTTGTTATATATTTGATTTATAAGAGGGGAAGAGGCAAGAAATGGGAGAAAACGCAGGAAAAACTCTCGAGAAAATATTCATATTCCAGGAATTCGCCTTCGATGTTTTCTGCAGTGAAAGCATATTAATTGAAGGGTTGGCAGACATTGTATTTTAAACACGTAAGCAGTATGAACGTCCTCTTCGGATATTTTTCAATATTGAATTTACTTAGGTTGCTTAATTGGTTAAATGCAAAAACGCGTTTTAAGTTTTGTGAAGTATTAAAAAGCAATTTACATGTAGTTAAAATTAATGTCTTTCAACGTGATTAATGTGCATGTAATGCCCTCCTTAGACTGATATACTAAATTGCGATAAATTTATTATCAATTTTGATAAGTTATTTATTGTTTATTGACTATTCCGTCCATTCCTGCTAAATGTATACTGTAATATGGTGTTTACTTTTTTTTTTACATTTCATTTAACTTATTTTTACGATTGATATTTCTCGTTTTGCGTCAAATATGGATATTTGGATAATATGTGCATCGGTAGAAATTTGCTGTGATTTTTGTTTTATCTGTGATTTTGCTCACATTGAGTCACATTTTCATATTTATTGTACAGTTGATTTGCTTACACACCTAGTTCGATTTTTGAACTCTTTGACGAGTGCTATATTTTTGTGTCACAGCGTGCTGCGAATTCATGATCATGATGTAAAAAATGTCACTGAAATAAAGATGCTATTTTCACAAATATATATATATTTATTTCATTTATCAGTCAGCAAAATAGGAAAAAAACTGATGAAAAATGATTTGGAAAAAAAATTCCATATTAAATGTCAAGTCTGTATTATTTCTTATCATCTCAATTTGATTAAAAGACAGGACCTGAAAATGTGATTTATGTATATCCTCAGAATATAGATATTGTTGCCATTAAAAATGGTGTTTAAGGTTGCATAAGAATTTTTCACTTTTGCATTTATCTGTTCAAATTGAAGTATTCATTTGAGGATAGGTCACCAAATACAAATCAATTAACGGTAGTAAAAATCAGAATCTGTCAAAAATGGACCAGTCCTTTATCAAGAATTATGAGAAAATCGTAACCATGAGAACAAACGAATTGGTTCCATTTTGCTTTAGAACAAGAAAATTATATGTAAAATTTCTGAAAAAGCAGGATTGTAAATTTATACAAATTTAATCTATATCTGATGGTGGAAACATTAAGATATTTACTTTTAGTTTTGATAACAGCTTAAATGCTCATATTCCATTATTTACAAAATACTGTATACATATTTTTTATTGTTTTTACAACTAATTCAATAATAGAGAACTTCAGCTACCACAAAAACACATTATTTGCATATCAGTTCCCTTTATCATTACTATTATCGGTAATTTTATAATAAAACGGAAAACGACGAATTTGAAAAGTATTAATTCAGTTTTCGTGTAATAGGTGCACGAAGAAGCGTGGGGTTCATGGGTGTAAAACAAAGGCTAGGCGTAATAGGCGCATGTTGTGCAGAATCTGGCTGAGCTTCTGAAAAGAGAAAATAATGTTTAAAACTTAAGACTAAACGGAAAGACTTAACATACAGATAATGCATGTAATAACACAGAGGAGCGGATATATATATAATAGAATTGGCGTGATGATATAAATATTTGAGACCTCTTGCTGTAGCAAGAAACATTGATAACACAACTCGTTCCATTTGGGGCGGTGGAGTTATTTCCCCTGTACCACATCCATTAATATATTTGCATTTCAGAGAAGCTCAAAAGTTCACATTTACATATTCTCTTCGAAGAATATAGGAAATGCAGTGCACCTATATTTTACCTTCCGCCTGTACAATATCAACAAAAGTGATAATTTATTTCTCAAAGTAGCGCTACATACACAAAAGTTTCAACTGAACAAATTACATATAAAAACTCGAATAATAAAAATTTTAAAATAAAAATCAATAAAAGAGGAATGACGCCTTAAAAAGACAGAATCAATCATACATTTGGGGTCCCAAAGCACTATAAGTTACGAACCAATAAATTCAACCATTCTGAATGACACACATGTACATATACAAGGACTCGTAGCAAAAATATTTGTCGTAAATATTCTTTCATTCGTCTGCGCCATTAGTATTTAATAACAGTAATTATTGGAGAAAAAGTCATACTCACAGACATGTTCGTATTTGCTTCTGCATTACATAGGTCTTATAAAAGCTCGTCCTCGGGACTGCAACACACACACCAGGGCCGTAGCCTGAGCAAAATGCCAAGGGGGCAGTAACGGACACGAGGGGGCAAAGCCCCCGACGGGGGAGGGTGTGGGAGGGTGTGGGAGGGGGTGTCCCCCTCCCACGGTGTGGAAAATTTAAAAAAAAGTATGTATAATACTGCATTCTGGTGCATTTTCACTGTTTAAAAGTCAGGGTAAACAATAACCTGATAACAGCCTGGGGGATAGCTCCCTAAGGGAGGGTGAGCTTTTTGGCATGACACTGAGTTGGCTAAAAACAGTACACCTTTGTAAACAGATTGTTGAATGATTGTCTAGTGGCCATGAGTGCATTTTCTCACAGAATTGATACCAACTTTGCAATTTTTTTTTTACCTTTGCGATTGTTT